AACCGAATTTCGGAGACATGTATGAGTGGAGTGAGAAGATTTATTGAAGAACATGTAATCACCTAGATGCGGATGGGAAATGTCGTTATCCTTGCAAAAAATGTTTGAATTGTTTTTTCCATCATATAGATATTGTTAAGCGTCATATTTTTGTTGGAGGTTTTAGCTTAAATTATATAAACTGGATTAATCATGGCGAGGAGGAAACCGATACTACTCCCAATGTACAAGATGAAGACTTCGGGAGGCATTTCCAGAAGGCTCGAGAATTCCCGAGTCTTATTATGAGACGAAGCGGATGATGCGAAAGCTTGGGTTGGGATACAAGACCATCCATGTGTGCCAGAATGAGTGTGTGGTGTATTACAAAGAGTACAAAGATTTGAAGGAATGTCCGATATGTGGTCATAAGAGGTATAAAAATTGTAATGCAAAGGAGAAAAAAGTTCCACACAAAAAAATGCACTACTTTCCTCTCATTCCAAGATTGCAGCGTTTATTTATGTCTCGACACACCGCTGAATATATGAGGTGGCACAAGGAACAACGTGTTAAGACGGAAGGAATCCTTCGACACCCTGCTGATGCAGAAGTGTGGAAGGAATTTGACAAACAATATCCGGATTTCACAGCTGAACTGCGTAATGTTAGATTAAGTCTTGCTTCCGATGGTTTCACGCCGTTTGGAGATATGACAAATCCATATAGTATGTGGCCAGTTTTACTGGTGGCTTACAACATGCCCCCTTGGAGATGTATGAACCATACACATATCATGATGTCAAGTGAGAGGTATGAAAAATATGGTTTCAAGCGTGGCATAGGTCATGTACTAAGAAAAGCGCCACAAGGTCACAAATCTAGAGGGTTAGGATATGAAAAGCTTGAAAATGATGTTCAGGAAAATAAACGGCGTATGTCGGATATGGAAATTCTAATGAAGTAACAACAGGAGTTTATTCCAAAGCTACTTCAACAGATAAATCCGCCGTCTAATCATCCTGGACCTTCCGTCCCAAGAATAGAAGATCCTCCGCCACCGCCACCACCGGCCTCAATTTGTTATAACGTTTAATTTTGGTAATATTAAGATTTTACTAGTACAATATTTGCATAAATGTTTGGGTTTGTTTAAGTATGACTATTTTAGTATTTTGTTTGGATTCTAATATGTATTGAAATATTTAGAGATTTTTAAATTAATATTTGGTATTTTATTTATATATATTTTTTTCAAAAAATACAGGTATATAAATCTATCTCAGTTTTGGTGACCAAAAAGCTCATATTTTTTGCTACTAAAATTTTAGTAGCAGAAAGCTCACAATTTTTGCTACCAAATATATTTTGCTACCAAAATTTTGGTAGTAGAAAGCTCACACTTTTTGCTACCAAATAAATTTTGCAATCAAAATTTTGGTAGCAAAAAGTTTACAGTTTTTGCTACCAAATATATTTTGCTACCAAAATTTTAGTAGCAGAAAGCTCACACTTTTTGCTACTAAAAACATTTTGCTACCAAAACTTTTGGTCCCCGAGTATCATACATTTTGCTACCAAATACATTTTGTTACCAAAAAATTTTTTGGTAACAAAAACTATTTGCTACCAAAATTTTGGTAACTAATACTTTCTGCTACCAAAATTTTTTGGTAACAAAAACATTTTGCTACCAAAAACAGGGCTTTTGGTTACCAAATTTTTTATAACAAAAAATTCAAATTCTTGTAGTGAGGCCAAGAGATCTCAGCCACCAAAAGACAAACTCGCCTAAAAACGAAGCCTATCTGTTCGGTTTTAAAGCTCCAAATCATTTTAGATCCACCCAAATAGAACCACCACACTGTACACCACCACCACCAACGCGAAGCTCACAACAAGGCGAGCTGGATGACCAAATTTCATGGCCGGGAGCCTGGTGACGCACCTAGAGGCGGCCCCATAACTCTGACCGTCGTTCATTCTTTTTTCTCTTATTCGTATGGGGGTGAGAGAGAGTTGAAAACGGGAAGCGACAATTTGCAGTCGGCAACTGTTTTGATCCTAATAACTTATCATCTTTTTATTTATATGAGGGTATTACAATAAAGCACAGTAGATTTGTTTTTTTTTCCCCCACTTTTCATTCTTTTTATTAAACAACATGAAAGAAATTCCCGTCCTACTATTTCAGTTCCTTCTTTAAAGGTATTTTATTTCTTCTCCCTTTCTATTTTCTATTCGCAATTTGTACAAGTGTGACCATCTATACAACATATGAGGATATGACATTTGATTTTGTGACTGGCGAAATTTTAAGTGATGAGGGTCTTGACCCATGTGGAGCCAATACCTATTCTCCATATTCCCCACCTAATTAATCGAATATTATTCCAATAGTCAACTGGACCTAAGCTGGCCCAGCCTACGTATTTGTCATATTTGTCGACTGTCGTGTTAAGTTGGTCCATAACATGACAATGATCTTGTTTCATCACGGTGACATTTTGATCAAGATGATCTCTATCTCTATCAATGATGGGTATAGGGAATTCCTTTATTCAGTTACATTTTGGAATTGATGATCTTATATATTTTCGCTAATTTTTATTCATCAAATAAAAAAGTCAAAGTTCCACACAAACTAAAGTTTAGACTTAACAAGAAAAAGGTTAAAAAAAGAAAAATATTAAGCCAGCTAATCATTAAAAGAGTGAAAACTTTACTGTGTATCTCTTATTTGTGATTTACCAGTGGAGCAAGTGATTCTGACCATTGGATATTAAATTTTTAATTGTCAGTTCTATGCAGGTTCATGTTAAATATTTACAATGCATCATACATAATTACTCTTATTGTAGATCTGATAGTTAAAAAACTAATCTAACAGTACAACGCATCATACATTTACAACGCATCATTCATTTTCTCTTGCAGAAGGGTGCGGTTTTCATGGAGTTCGAAATGTATTATAAGGACGTGAAGATATATAGCATATATATGACATATGAGAGTATTTAAGTATTAATGGATTAAAGGCCGGGCATCTCAAAATTTGTGGATAGAATAGAACTAAAAAGAAGCAAGTAATTTTTCGGCCAAATTTGTGTTAAATTCTGTGATTAGCATATTTTTTACATATAGTTAACAAATAACGACTATGATTTTGAATTCATATCCTATGTAAAATATATCTCTCTTTTTTTCCTCCGACGATAATAGATTGACATGTCAACTACTTCTCAACGATAGTAAATAAATATAAATGAAATACAGTGAACAAGACCTTCTTCATTACTGAATATGTGTATATGTACAACACTAAGTCCATGATAAGCGCAAAATAATAATAATTAATTATTATTTATAAATATTTCTTTAATTAATTAGTGAATAATATTTTATACAAGTCAACCTTTCGCTCCGCCCAATCCCAAATAATACTGCTATATTTAGCTAGATCTTTGACATGATCGTCACTATTGTGTAAGTCAAGCAAGTTTTTCTCAAATTTTCTTCTTTAATATATACATATTTATAAGCATTGTTGACGGTGAAAATTCGTCAACAAAATAATAACGAATTTCTAAACAGTTTGCGCGAATTAAATGGATTTAAAACACAATTAAAAGCAATTAAACAACAAGTGCACACGAGAATTATAGTAATTCACCATCGGTTTGAGAGCTACATCTACTGTGGGGAGTAGAGGAAATTCACTACTTTAAATGAGAATACACGCATTAATGCTCAGAATGAGACTTAGGGATTTTCTGACTCATAATTCTTTATTTATACTCATAATCACTGCCAATATCCTTTTCCTTATTTGAATTCAGAATATTTCCCTTATCTTTTGGGATAGTTTCCCAAAAGATAGAGATTACAATCAGTCAGGACGGTTTCCTTATTTAAACTTCATATATTTGAATTACAAATAACAAATCTAGGGACAAATGTCACGGATCTCATCTCCTGTGTAGCCTCGACTTCATAAACGTTCATAGAAGTCTTTGCGCCTATGATTGTGGATACAGTGAGCTTCATGTTGTCTTTTGTATCCTTTTTGAGTAGTCGACCTCTTTAATATGCCTCACTTCTTTCTAGCGGTCGACTTCTAAGAAAGTTGTCTACTGACGTGGCGTCTAGGGTTGGGCTGTACTTGATCATTTTGTGTTCTCATTTAAGGCATGTGGGCCCCATCCAAGGTCTTATTTAGGGTTCAGCATTTTACCTTACAACAATCATTATTATTAATGGTGCCTTCTGCACTTTAGAATCATTCTCAATCTACCCCGAAAATTTAAAAACTCTCACTTTGCCCCCTTAATTTTGAATTTTTCCCACTTAACTCCTTCTGTTGTAACTTCTGTTAAAAAAAACATAGAGAGTAATGTAGTCAAGTGGTCTTTCCATTTGAATTTTAATTAAAAACAAACAGATAAAAACCGCATGGTCGTACTACCTCCCTTTTTCTGTTTAATTTTAACAGAAATTCTTACAAAATGGTTTAAATGAGACAAATTCAAAATTCAGGGAGTAAAGTGAACATTTTTAAAGTTTAAGGGATAAGGTGAGAACGATCTCGAAACTTAAGGTGAACAAGTGGGATTAATTCTATTTTTAAAGTGCCATTTTTAAAAATAAAAAAGTTTTTTTTTCTCAGTCAAATACATTGTAATGCGAAAGATATGCTCTTAAAGTTAGGCTGCTGATCCACTTTGTAATTGCTTACATGATCAGTTGATATTCCGGATTTTAATTTATTAATCATGTATTTGTTTGTAATTTTCTTTTCTTTCTTTTATTTTTTAATGTTCTTGCAGGATGATGGAAACGAGTTGATTAGTTTTCGATCGGATATATTGTCTTGCTTTTTACAAGTTGTATTATTATCTAAGAGAAAAAAAAAACAATGTGTACAGATTTATATGTCGTTATGTATTCAAAGTGATCATATATATATATATATACACACATAAAGCTTCATGAAAATAGCTAGAGAAATATAATTAGCTATGTGTGAGAATCCAAACATTTCATTTAATTTGTATTAAGACAAAATACAATTAGTACAGTACAATACAATTGATAATTAAAACACAAAAATTAAGCACACGGTGTAGCTGCTTCTGCATGTATTGAAGCACTTCAAAACATATATCTACATCCATTATTGCTTTATCATAAATAAAACTTAAAAAACAAGGAAAAAAAAAGATAAAAAGAAACACCTTAAATTATAAAATTTCACAAACCATGGAAACAATATATATATATTCATCATCAGTTACTGATCAAAGAGGAACAGTTCTCGAAGAAGCATTCGGCTGTTCCATCTCCTGATCACCATCTTCATTCTCTCCAGTCAACTCCTCAAGAGATTTTCCCTTGGATTCAGGCACCAAAAGCGTAAACAACATTCCAAAGAAGTTGATCACTCCAAGCATAATCAAAGAATTCTTTATACCAATGCCCGGTGGGTAACCCGCATCGGTCTTCGTCTTGTCTGTGCTCTGAGCGGCATACAAGAAGCCGAAAGCCCCTACAATAGCCCCAGCTTTCCCGGCCGCTGCCGATATTCCGTGGCAAGTAGACCTAAGCCTGGCCGGGAAAATCTCGGCAGGAACGACAAACGTGGTCGCATTAGGCCCGAAATTGGCGAAGAAGAAGGTCAAAGAGTACATAACAACAAACCCTATTCTGTTCTCCTTTTGAGTCCAGTGGTTGTATGGAATGGCTAGGGCAAACATGAAGACAGTCATGAAGAAGAAGCCCATGAGTTGGATTGCGAAACGGCCCATGTAGTCGATGAGCGCGACGGTGAACCAATAACCGGGAACGGTACTGCAGAGTGCAATTAAGGTTTGCGCTCTGGCGATTTTGTAGACCTCTTGAATGGCGTTCATGGTGTTGGCCGCTGGGATCCACCCAATGGCGGTGAATATGTCCTTTTGGAAGAGGTTTTGGCTGTAGAAGGCAATGTCCAAGAGGAACCAAGTTGTGGTGGTTCCGACCAAGTGGAGCCCGTGGCGGCGAGCGAATTCCTTGGTGAAAAGGCCATAGGATTGGCCCGAACGAGACGTGAACTTCTCAACCTTCTCTTCCTCGGCTTGGAGTTCGACTTGTAGGACCTTGGACATGTCTGCGGCCGCTTGTTTCGCGTTCTTCGCGACGAGGGCGGTGTAACGGGCGGTTTCGGGCATTTTCATACGCCAGTAGTAGGTGAGGGCCGCCGGGAAGGCTCCGAAGATGACGATGATACGCCATACGTAGTCCGCTTGAGGCACGAGAGAGGCCTCTCTGTCGGTTTTGTATGGAGGGGCGTCGAATGAGTTCTTGAACGCACCTGATCAAGAGTAATTGGTCAATAACATCACTTTTTTTTTTTTATCTGATGGTCAATAACATCACTTGGTAGAGAACTAATCAAAGCAATATTGAGATTGAACCCTGCTTAATTTTGAAAGGATTTGAGGAGGATTATTATTAGAAAAATACTAACAATTTTAATAAGTACTTCTTTCCAAAATTAAAGAATTAATAATGCGTCGTTAAGAAACAAAATTAATAATGGAGATCCTCTCTTTCCATGACAATATTAACTAATGAATTGCTAAGTAAAGCATATTCTAAGCGGATATTGAATAGTAATAAACATCTCCTTAAAATGATTAATTTGGTTTTTTTATATTTTAAGAGAAAAACATTCGACTTTTTTTTTAATGTAGGAAAACATGTGCTTTTTTTTTTTTTTTGGTCTTAAGTTGCAAAGATGACGTTCTATTTTTCAAATTAAACATGTATATTTCCAAGATTTTTCTCAAGATATATGTGTGCGTGTATATCTATAATTATAATAATAATTATTATTATTATAACTAATATTTATTTTTAGGGACAGAAAAAAAAAAGACAGGAAATAAAAATTGAAAACATAGGAAAAGAAGAAAAAAAAAGAAGCAAAAAAAAAAAAGGCACCTGCGACGATTAAAGCGACAATCCCACCGCCGAGAATTCCAAACCCTTGCATGGCGAACACCGCGGCGATGAAAGCACCGCGAGTTTTCTTATTGGCGTACTCCGACATGATGGTGGCGGAGAGAGGGTAGTCACCGCCGATACCGAAGCCGAGCCAGAACCGGAAGAAGCAGAGCGTGGCGATGACAGCTTGCGGGTTGTCACTGAAGGACAGCCCCGAGCCTATGGAGCAAACAACCATCAGAATTAAGGTTATACCATAGACCTTCTTCCTCCCCATCTTGTCGCCGAGCCACCCGAAGAAGAGCTGGCCCGCGAGGGTCCCGCAGAAGGCAACGCCGTTGACGGCGGCCGCGACGTTCGGGGGCAGCGTCCCGGGCTTCTCCTTGGTGGTGTCGGTGTAGTATATCCGGCCGAGGAGCTTCGTCACGAGAGAGACGCAGAAGAGGTCATAGGCGTCTGTGAAGAAGCCCATGCCTGCTATGACGATTGCAGTAAAATGATACCATTGAGTCTTTGCTAGGTCGAGTGCGTTTAGCACTCCTAGTTGTTCGCCGGCCATGGCGAGTTAAGCTTGATCAATAAGCCCTAGTCTCAGTCTTCCTTCCTAAATAACAAGAAGAAGATGCGGATAAGAATCTCATATAAGAAATAATAATAAGTGCATTTATTATTATGGTATATTTTTCTGAGTTCGTTGTTTGGGGTTGTTTTGTTTTCCAGTTGTCTTTTTATCTTGTTGGAGCGGATTTTGGCATTTGGCAGGATTTTTATTTCATTATTTTTTTTCCCAAAACGAATATATTCTTGTATTCAAGCCAAGGGGGAAATGATTATTGTTATAAAATCAATATGTAGCTGTATATGTTATTTATGTATTTATTTATTTGCTGAAGGTAACGTATATGTTAAATTAAATTATATACTGAAATACAAACAAATAAAGAGAGAGAAATTAAAATTTATGAAATAGGGGTGGTCAACACAAATATTAGAGCTTGTAAGTTCTCCCGTTTTACTTCTTGTGATTATTGGCGCCATAAAAGCATTTTTCTTATGAAAACAAGAGGAAAGAAAATATATCAGTCAAAGTTTTGGACTTGGGAGAATACAAGATGGAGTTTACTTTTCTTCCCATGTTGTTAAATCACTCCGATAATTGGTACTCATATTCATAAAGTCAGTGTCAGGAAAAACTTTTTGTATAGTTATATAATGTTGATTGATTACGTCACATAGCTATAGATTTTTTTTTTATTTGTTTGTTTTGCTTTATTTTATTCTTTCGAAGGTTCCGACGGAATTGACGGATCAACTACTTTGCTAACAAAGTAACGTCCGTTTGAGTTGAGATGTGATATTATATGAGAGTTTTTTATTGTAATAAAAAAATTAAATATAATTATTTTTTAAAGTTTTTTACTGTAATAAAACTCAAATTCTAAACTCAAATCAGCAAAATAAATGGGCTTAATTTACTAGCTAATATTCTGGCAAAAATGAAGTATTAAAAAGGATACTTATATATTTTATTGTGTCTACTACTACTATTATTTTACGTAGTTTTTTTTAATTTTTTTTTAAATTATTATTATTTACGAAGTTTGACTAACGCTTTCTCCCTATCCCGTGCTAAAACGGCAATACCAAATTTAAAATATTATTTCACATTAAGACAACTCAGAGAGAGAGAGAGAGAGAGAGAGAGAGAGAATAAAGATCTAAAAACAATAGAGAAAACAAAATAATTGCATTATCGCGTAAAAACTTGTTGCTTAGAAGTGATGAAATTAAATGCTTTGTCTGGATGGATTGAAAACAAAATAATGAAAGGAAAAGTCATGGGCCAACCCTTATTGACCTGCAGACCCATAACATCCAAAGAAAGTCGCAACTAGTCTATTCAATACCTTCATAAATTCCACCTTTCAGGAAATTTTTTTTTTTTTTTTTTTTTTTTTTTTTAAAAAAGAAGCTTCATAAATCCTGGAGTCTGCAGAAATGATTACAAGTTTTCTCAAGGTACAAGCTTATACATGTACTAATTCAGGTTAGAATTAATGCATAAAATGTATAGTGTGTGTTTGTATTTTGTGAAAATTTATAGCATCCCTCCCAAACAAATATATATTGGAACAAATGACTAATAGAATATGTGAAAGTTAGGAGGAATAAGTGATTTTTTACGTGTTTGGTTCGTAAATTTAAACAAAAATTTAAATTTTTATAAAAGAAAATACTATAATAAAAAAAATTAAATTGTAATTTAAATTTATAAACAAACAGGGCTTTATTATTAGCCAAAACCTAGCTACTTAAAACTAATTTCAAGGGTAAGCAAAAGCGTTTAATTATTTCCCTTTATATACGAACTTTTGGAGGAACCATATTTTCCTGTAGCTTTTGCCCATCGTTTTTGTTCTTCTTCTTCTTTTCTTTTTTTCTTTTTTTTTTGTGATTTTGTGTTGATCATGAAAGAGATCGAGAGGTAAAGAACTACAAGTCATGGGTTTCTCCAAGGGGGTGTTCTAATTATATTGGTTAAAAGTGTATTTTTTTTGTTTTTTTTTTTTTAATTTTTTGAGAAGACGGGCCAAACTAAAGGACTTCTATTGGCCAATGAAACAGTGAGCTAGCTAGTGTGCCGTACCATCATAACCAGCACTTTAACTAAAAAGGCGAAAAGAAACCCAGAACTGCAAAAGAGAAAATATATTGCCCAACGCCCCAACCATAAAGATACACTGTATAAGGTATCTACCTTGATGTGGTCCTAGCATAGGGCATAAATGAAAAACTTTATAAATGATCAGAAGAGCATTGATATGTATCAAAAAAGAATGGGAACAGAGACTGACCTTTTTTTATCTTCTTAAGATGGAAGATGAGAGACAGAAGAAGAGACCAGAATTGGTGATACTTTTATTTTCTCCAGTACTGCTGCTTATTTGGTGCCAAAGGATAGAATGATAGGTAAGATTTGGAGACTAGACCAATATTTATATGTGTGGAAAATTCTGTAATCTAAGAATAGTTAGGGGCATCTAATGGCATATACCTATATGCCCTCATAATCAGATTATAATTTAAGTCAACTTTTTCATAAAGTCTTCTCATAGTTCACAAGAGTTTTTCTTCCTTTCTTTTTTTTTTTTTTTTTAATGCTACTATATATGACTAATTAGGCCAAGTCTCCGGTTCAGTACGGGACCGGAGCAATATTTGTATATTTTTTCTTTAAAATATGTATATTTTTTTATAACATGTATATTTCTTCTTAAAATATATATATTGTATATTTTAGCATAAAAAGAAATGTATATGTTTTAAGTAAAAATATACACATTTTAAAGGTAAATATACATGTTTTGAAAGAAGAAATATACAAGTGTCGTTTTAGTCCGGTACCGGACTCGAGACAATTCCTAACTAATTAAAATAACCAAAGTACCATTCCTCCTTAGCTATTATTTCTTTACTTTTTAGTGAAGAATTAATTTGTATGAGAGTCGCCTAGGCATCATTGATTATAGACAGACTTTGCTAATTCCGGGTTGTAATCGCCACCGTTGGTATTTATAAAGAAGGACAAAACAAAGAATTCCTATTTTGGGGGTTTTAAAAAAAAAAAAAAAAAAACCAAAATTTACGTAGCTGCAGTAGTACTAGTTAAATAGACTTCTTAATAATTCCCTCAAATGAAAAGAAACAAATCCATATTAATAGGCTAAGCAAGCTATGAAGAGATATAAAGAATTTTATATCGTGATTTTTTTTCCTAACAGTTTGTATACCATAAAATAGCATATACAATAACGATTTTTAAAAAAAATAATAATAAAGATAAGAAATTCGTTGTTGATATCACCCTAATGTATTTCTTTTATTTTTATTATTTTCTACTAATTTTCCACATTCACACAACACAGTTAAGCTACACCTAGAGCAAAGCTACAGTTCTGCCTCTGATTAAGAAACAATGAAGTAAGCAAAACAAACAAGGCAATACAAAGAAGCCAATCTAAAAAAGGGGTAAAAAAAAAAAAAAAAGACTAAGAAACTAATGAAGTAATGATAAAGTCTCCAGAAAATGCTAGACCACATAAGTTATAACTCTTTTGCTTTCATGAATTCCATTAAAAAGAATGTTTTCAAGAGGATGAACACATGGAAAATTTTGAATACCCATTTTTTAGTACTTCTAATAATTCAGTTCGATGGACCACATGTTGCTTGGAATGGGGTCTTTGTAATTGTAAACCACAAACACTTTTTATCTTGGGAATTTCCAGACCTTTTCTAATAAAATTACATGACGTCCATTATTCAGGAAATTCTTCTTTTATTTATTTATATTTCCCTACAAGTCAACACGTACGATATGTATCTAATAATGCTTATAATTCGATCACTTCAAGGCGGGAGGAGATTAAATAGTGTTCACCGCGTTAATGGGTCTCCATCTATATTAGTATCTTATATAAACAGAGTTTTCAATAAAAAAAAAAATTTTATTTACCTCAAATCAATACTTTTTTTTATTGGAAAATATAAAATTACAATGGATCTTGAAGGAGATATAAATAGTTATCTTTTTTTTTTTTTTTTTTTTTTTTTTTTTTTTTTTTTTTTTATAAATTACGTCCCCCCCTTCCGTGTACGATTTTCTATTCAATTTGTTTTTTTAATTTATTTGCGTGATTACCTTAAATAGCTTTTATGCGTCTAATTTGGTCATAGTCTCTGTTTTTCTCCTTCTTTCTACCTTGGACATAAGAGTACATTTAGATGCGACAAAAACAAGGGGTAAATAGAAAGAAGACAAATTACCAAGAAACTAAAATATTTTTAATTTGTCGAAATGAAGACACTTGGCAAATGTCGCTATTTAAGGTACTCGTTTTATGTGGCTAAGACGTCCTAAAAAAGTGATCAAATGAGAAATTTGTGTCTGATATTCCAATGGAAAGTATGGTCAACAATTGCACGCGGTTTCCAAGCAGAAGCATACAATAATATTTTGCAAGTATGCGGAAAAATTCAGAGTGCGACAGCTATCCTAGTATGAAAGGTCTACATTTTTTTGGTCGAATGAAACTTGATGTTACCTATTCCGTTAATTGAATGGATATACCTACAAATTAATTATAATTATCTATACGTAGGTTCTTTTCTAGTTAATTCGCTATGCTTTACGGTGTGATTTGCGTGAAATTCAATCCATCTCTCGAATATAATTGAATTAGGTTCTTTCCGTTATATTATTGAATCCTTTGTTATTAAAAATACTTGGAAAAAGGATCCGCAAAAGAAGAGCAATGTGGATTAAAAAATCTCTGAAAATTAACATTGGATTTTGAGTCAAAAAATTTTTACAGAGAAATTTGTAGAAGTTTTGAAGTAAAATATTTTGGGCGGAGTTTGTGAAGCATGCATGAGGGAATTGCAACGTCAGGCCAACAGCACATAGTGGAGCGAACTTAGGAATATTTGTGAAAACATTTGAAGAAAAATATGAGAATAATTAGAGTGATATATTCGAGTGAGATTGAGATTGAGAGATAGATGAAGAACGATAATGAGAGAGAGAGAGCGGAAGAGTTTGTTCAATATCAAGATGGCCGAGATATTCAAAATTTAATATAATTGGTCCGATAATTACATGGCACATTAAACTTTACGGTCATGAAATTTTGGAAAAAAATTTGCCAGAAACAAAGCCCTAAAGACAATGCAGGAATGAATTATGTACTTGAGCAAATTAATTGAGTTTTTCTGATGGAAAATAGTCTTCATCAGACCCAATAATAATATAACGTTTCTATAGATGAAAGTGATAACTTTTTTTTTTTTTTTAAAGAAGAAAGTGATAATTTTTCGTCGATAGAAAGCTCTTTTGCCGTATGAATTTATTTAATTTCGTAAGGAAAAATCTTTTATTTTATTTTATTGTATTTTATTTTTGTAGTGTCTTGGGGACAGCCTATAAAAAGTTATACATTCTTAAGCTACATAGATATTTCTGATTTTTTTTTAAGCAAGATACAGAGATAAGCTTAAATCCTTTACAATGTGCTTTTAGAAAAGGCCAGAAGTGGGGTATATCTGATTATCTGTGCTTTTCTGAATATAACAACTTGTTATTTTTTTCCCAGTTATATATATATATATATATAATTAAACATGTCCCCACTAAGATTTAGTCTTGCTATTTTGAGCAGATACATCTGATGAAAAGGCATATCACATATATGGATATATAATTAGCAGAAAGTGACCATCTAATTATATTTCTATTTTTAGAAGGGCCCTGCTGAGAGTGGAGCATTAGTTGAGCCATTATTTACTAGTTTTTTTATTTGTCCTCCAAAACGAGACTACTTCTTCACCATTAATAAAGTAGTAGAAGGATCCTCTTTGAACTAATAAAGTACAATAAAGAAAGTGCTAGTTTGCCAGTTATATATATTTTCCATAATTGGTTCTTTATGGTTTAATTCGGTAGTGCTGTAGATTTTAAAAAAATTGCTTTTAGTTGTGCTGAAAGAAGAATCAGCTGTTACAAAAAGTAGCTGAGCATTTGGTAAATTATAATTATAGTAGCTATGCTAGTTCCAAAATCAGTGTAATAGCGTTTGGTAAATTATATACAATTACAGTATAATATATATTTATTATTATATTTAATATAATACAAAAACTATTATTATATAATATATTATATAATTATGATATAGAATATAATAATATTATTAAAATAATAATTGAAATAATTAAAAATAATGATTATATTATATTATACTATAATATAATATATATAATTATAATATAATGTATATTTAATATTATATTTAATATAATAAAATTAAACTATTATTAAATAACATATTATATGATATAGAATATAATAATATTATTAAAATGGTTAATATAATGACAATATTATAAAACATATTATAATATTACATAAGATATTTCAGTTATATTAAACAAATATATTATATAATATACACTATAATATATAATATTATAATATTAGAATTATAAGATTATATTATATTTGTAATGACTGAGAAAATTTCAGACCTTAAATAATACAATTCATGTATTTTTAAGCCAAGGATTTTCTTAGAAAATATTATGTTATCATATTATTAAAATAATTATAATATTATTTTATTATAATATCATATTATATGATAAAATAATAATATTAGAGTTATTAATATAATTATGATATTATTTGTTACAATATTACTATTATATTATATTATATTATGAGTCTGAATTTTATATTGGGAAGATTGTAAATTTTAAATTTTATTATGAGTATTATGGGTATTATAAAAATTTTATTAATTGTACTATGTTGATTATCGCACAATCTAAAAATTAAAGTTTTCTTTAGATTGTTTCTGATTTTAGCTGTAAATTCTTGAAAAACTTTTTAAAAAACACTTTTAAAGAAATTTATTAAACACTAAAATCACGCAAAAATTGATTTAAAAAAAAAAAATCAAACTAAGCCTATATCATATTGTACGTAAGAGTACTTTGACATAGAAGAACTCGTGCGGTCACACAACTTTATTCGATGAATCCGTACAAATTGCATTGAATCCGTTGACGCTAAAGCCCCTGTAATTTACCGCATTCGATTAACATGTAATATAATAGTTGTTAAATGTGTAATGAATAATGATGGTAAAATTATCTTAAAACAATGCATGTTACTGGATTAGGATGTTTAAAGGTTAGTTATGTGTTGATCCGTATTAAAAATTTATAACATGTCATACAAAATTGTTCTTGCTATAAATTTGACTTAAAAAAAATAATTTAATGATAAAAAAGCAGAACTCTCCAGGTAAAAGTTTTTTGGGGTTTCACCGTAGAAGTTGTCTAAGTATAAGATGGTGCAAAATGGAGTTCTACAAAATGATCCGTTTAGTTGGTTGATTTGAGTTGAAATGTGACTTTTTACTATAACAAAAACGTTAAATATGACTGTTTCTGAAA